GTTTTTATGAGCATGCAAGACATTGAAAACGATGTGATTCATTCTTTATGAAATATCCATTAATAATCCATTCAATGTTTGTTTAATGGATATTTTTAGACCATTGCAGCGAAATTTTGACCGGTTTTATGCATTTACAGTAGGAACGTATTAATGCCTAAAAGCGGCAGTTTTATAATAAAACTTTTATTACGATCAAAAAATGGACATTTTATGAGGATAAAATCAGAAAAGATCTCGGGAAAATTAGCAGAATGGATCTCGGAAGGAAAAAAGACAGAAAGAATCTCGGGAAAATGTCAGTTAAGCATTTCTGCAGAAAAGATCTCGAAATAATGAATAATCTCGAAGGAAAACATGTGCATAAAGCACAGTATTATGAAGTCATAACATTTTCAACTTCATTCTAACTGTAAACTTAAAAATGTTACGTCGTACGTGGAATAAAGTGCTCTTATGCGATAATGAAAGCGATTTATCAGGTTTGATATAAGCTATTTATTTGTAAAAGAAAGAAGTCAGCAATTTTATACTGTCTCTACCCACCGAAAGAGAGACAAACCCCAGACAACAAGAAAAAATATACATTAAGCAAAAAATTTATCAGATTTCATTAAAGATAAACATGTTTGTGTTTATCGAAAGGAAATATTTAACACCATTCTATGATGTCTGTTTCGAGGCCATTATTACAGCATCATAGGCCGTTAATGACTTATTTTTCGGATGTTTTCTACGAAAAATTCGAAATTTTTCTCTAAAGAATAAGGGTTATATTTAAGTGAGTCATAATAGTGAAGCAAATGGGTGAATGATTTGTTGAGAAATGTGTAACAATTCAAATATCTCTGTATCAATGGTAAATGCTATCTTTCCCCTGATATGTTAATCATTCCATAAAAGTATACTAACGGACAGTTAACGAATGATGTGTATTTTAGCTTCAAGTATGTACAGTTACATCCCTGTTTTTACGTCATGATTCGCGGTGATACAATGGACAAAAAAGGATGGCTGTTAATTGGCAGCTTTTTAAAAGTCCTTAACCGATTAAAAGTCAATTTCTGCAGTTAACAGACTATACATGAGTTATAAATATCAGTATTCGTTGATCTGGATAAATAAGGAGTAGTTTAATTCTGCTCTATTGTTTATTTGATTTTTACGGCAAACGTCTATTATGTGTTAATAAGAAATTAGTTTCTATTATTAGTTGTCTGTGAAATTGAAAAAAATGGAACTTATTTCAGATCCTATGAGTGTTAACTTTTTTTGACGAGATGCAATGGGCCAGAAAAACGTTTTCTCGTCTCATCCCGTTCTATTAGAAGCCTTAACTCAAGAAGTAGCGAGATCTTGATTACGTGATTAAATAGTCAAAATCTTAGTACAAGAAATCAAAGAACGTATAATATCTTGATTTTATGTAATTTTTTAGCAACATTCTGTTCACAAGACTTTTCACTAGGAATAGAAACATATGAAACATTTTTATAATAGATTTTTAAATTATGACACTCCCAGGATTGCTTAGCATGGTGTGCTTGGTAATGAGCGGAGTTGATGATTTCACCAGTATAAAGATTTTTATGAACACGCAAGGTTCATGAATCATTTTTATGATTCTATGTTGTTTTTTTGCACTATTAGTGCAAAAAAACAACATATATTAAATGTATGTGCTATGCTATATTCTAATTTGATTTTTCATATTTTTTTCTCTTCCTTTTTTATCGGTTCTCCTTTTCAACAATAATTATCAATACATATGACACTTCAAAACAAGAAAGTATCATCTATTAGATTATCTGATGATAGAGTAAAAAGTGTCTAATTGAAACCGAAACTAGATTTGTCTAACTTGTAACTTTAGTATCTTAGTGAGGTTTGAATCGATTTTTACCAAATTTGAGACTTTTGTAGCTGAAAGTCTTGGCTATTTAATGATCTAAAAATGATTCCAAAATTCCCATGAGAGACGGATTTTAGAGAGATTTATTAAGAAATGGGTCGTTTTAGTTCCAATTAGGCTCTGTACCTAATAGGAACCGTACAGTAAAATGTGTGTCTGATTAGAACCGTCCCATTCCAATTACACGGGTTTACAACGTTTTAGTAAAATCTATTTTTTAAAAGACTTTGTAAGATAAACTAAGAAGTTTTTATATGGTCATAATCAGGCGAATGAGCCTCGTCGAATGCTACTATTTCGAGATTTGTAGACCAAAATTGACCAAATTATACTTACAACACTTTAGTGTATGAAAAAGCGAGATGGGTGCATATTAGGCACCGAGCTTAACTGGAATAAAAGAGTAAAAAATCTCAAGTTCGGTGAAAATCGATTCATACCTCATTGAGATACTAAAGTTACAAGTTAGACAAATCTGGTTTCGATTTCAATGAGACACTTTACTCTAATGGGCAACAATGTATCCATCTACTCGTGAATATTCATAAACAATCATTTTCACTCTTTTATCGAACAATTTACTTTCTTTCCCAGAAAAACAAAAAAAAATTGGAAATTTCAATAGAGAAAACATAAAAAAGTGACAAGGATTAGAAGAGACATAATCATCACCGTAAGCGCTATGTTATTACAAAAGAGATTTAAGGGTGATTCTAAAATTAGTAAAACATAAGACTGATAGTGCTTAATCTTTGCATTCTATACGAATAACCTATTTCTTACAGATAGACAAAAAAAACATTGGTTTTATGTCTTTCTGCTCATCTATAATTTAAAAATATTTTCAGGCTTTTGAACTTTGTAAAAAATTCAAAAGAAATATAGAAGGAAAATTGACTTGATTTGTTTATAGTATAGAATTTTAGTTTTCTCTTAATCCATTTCATCGATCGTATAAAAATCACTATTATATTATTATTTCATTTTCTTCTTTTTTATTTTCCTTTGTCAAAAAGTTATCCATACCCAGATGAAAGACGTCTTACAAGATCTTATATAACATTTGATGATTTCTTATGCAATCTTGCTACAAGACCTTTTGGTAAGTACTTGTAAGATCTTATCTCAAGATCATGTATGAACCTGCGGAATCTTGTAACTTCTTGTCGTAAGATTTTACAAAATCAGTTTATAAGAAATGTTAAGATCGTATAAGATCTAGTAACAAGAAATCATATGATCTTGTAAGATCTTGTCAATAACAGCGTTTACTCATATTCAGTTCTTATTGCAAGATCATACGATTTCTTGTTACAAGATCTTATAAGATCATTCATTCTTATCACAGAAATTTTGCTACGGTATATAGTAAATATATATAACATAGTTCTTATGACAAAACTTAGCATATTTTTCTTCTTTCAACTTTACACATCAACTGAGCATAAATAAAGCGCACAGCTGGCTATAAGAAACGTGATTAGACACGTTCCTAAGGACATTAGAGTCCTTCCTATGCTCGAAAATATGATGAAAAGGAAAAGATTTATCTTTTAAAGAGGATCTAGAGGGACAAAATCAGAGATATAATATTGTGGTGCCTTGTAATATGATCTTACAGGATCATATTTTAAGATTCTTCATTCCATAGAATAAAATTGCATGGGATATTAAATAAGAAAACTGTTTTCCTTTTCTTCCTCTTTTTCTCTTCTAACACACAAGATACATATTTCCGTTTATTTCTTCTTCTCTTCTCTAAGATTCAAAAAGGACAAGAATTTTTTTTAAAAAATGCAATTAGGGCTAAAAAGAGAACGATTATGCCTATTTATGGTTAAATTTGGAGTGATTACAAGAGAACGGTCATATTGATGAAGCACACGATATAAATATTTGTCGCTATTGGTACTAGTCACTTCGAAATTTAGATATTTTATTTTCTAATATAATTCATTAAGTTCAGCTTTTGTATTGCAAATTCGCAATGGTAACCATTATTCATGGTTCCTTTATTATTTACGTACTGATGTGTAAATATGAAGACGCGTACATATGAAAAGTCTTACTTTAGAACTATGCACATACAGTGAAAAGGTGTCTTTTCAAACCGTTCTTTAAACAACATAAAAATTAAATAATTCGCACTCCGTTCTCTTTTCATACTTTTTCCATTCAAAAACAAAAGTATCGAAAGACACAGCTTTGATTAAGATTAAAATATATAGATTCTTGCATTCTTTTTTTGATATAGACAGAATGTTCTATTTTTAAAAGAGAAGCACACAGAGAGAGAGAGGAGACAGAGAGAAAAAGATAAACAAAATTATACATATAAAAAAATAGAATAATCATTTACAATACTGTTAAACATCATATCGTTACCTATTTTCTTTTTTCGTTTTCTTCATAATTTATGAAAATATCATAGAGCAATTGCGTGCGTTAATGAAAAATAAAATTGATCAAGGGAAAAATAAATGAATAGGATGGTAGTAATTTTTAGTTGCTGTCATGCGATATACCTTGATTAGAAGTGTGCATTATTGAATAAAGTACACACTTTGCTTTTTAGTCATTATACCTAATTGTTTGTTCATTCAAATATTTCTTGCAACGCTAATTGTACATCTCTTAGTTGAGCCAAACAAATTTCTGTAGAAATATTCAATAAAAATTCTTAGAGTAGATTCACTTCATTACTTTTCCGTAACTGATGTAACAATATTCATAATCAACTACGGAAGTCTTTTCAAAAGCAAAACATACTATTTATGAAATAGTTGAATTTTATTATAAAGCTAGGCTCTTTGAAAGACCGCATATGAGAATGTAGTTGAAAAAGCGACAAATTATTGATAATGTGTGAGAAGTTCAATCAGTATTTAGTCAAATATAATGTTTATTGGTATATATACCCATAATAAAAAGAAGTGTTTATTTTAGATAGATCAATGTTTAATTATTTTGTAATTGATTTGTTAGGGTCGTGTAAATGAAATAAAAAATGTTTTATTAGCTTTAAAAAACGTTAACTATATACATAAAATGAGACAACAATATTTCACATTATTGTTCTATCCTCATCATGGCTGGTTTATCTATATCAACATTATGTGAAGTGTTAACTAAAAATTTGAATATTACACAATGCCAATATAATGAACATAATAACGTTTGCCGATGTATCGATATAAATCCACATATGAGAGCAGGTAAGTGTCATTGGGATCTGATAAAACTAATAGCAGATAGATCTAAATGTATATCTTGACAGACGATGACTGTCATCAATCTCAAAGAGAAATCTAATTGATATTAAATAATGAACAAATAAAAATAATCTAATCAATCAATTCTTACTATTTAACTATTATTTGTTTGTCTCTTCTTATTTTTCCATAAATTAATCCTTTTTTATTAATTTTTTCATTTTAGTGGCATCCACATCTGCATCATCCGATATTATGTTCAGCGAAGTAATGCTTATATTTCTTGTATTAGCAATATGGTTATCAGCTATTGGCTTTTGTTTACATCAATATAAAACATTGAGACGGTTAGAAACACAAGTACACTATTGCGTTAGCCGAAAAGATCCAAAAAATATTGGCAATATTAAAATTGTAGCACGTGAACAAGATTCTATTATTTATAAGAAAAAACGTTATTCAACTATGCAAGATAACAAAATAAACGTTGATACGTTACATTATATTCGTTATATACCGACAACGATAGATAAAAATATTCTCACATCAAATGAACTAAATGGTATAAGATTTTCAACGACAACAATGTTTACCTTACCCACTCAACATGAAGATATTAATGAATTAGAAGATGACAATGAGAAACTCAATGATGAGGTTAATCCATTACTGAATAGTGATGCTAGACATTTATTACCAAACAAAAGAGGTATTTCTCAAACTAAATTTTTAATATCGTATGTCATTCTCGAAAATCGAATATGGTTTCTGTTATGTTTCATAGTATATGACTATTTTTCTGATCAAAAGGAAATGATTTATACTGAGACTTAATATATTTAAGACATTTCATCAAATTTTTCTTTCATTTTCATCGGCTGATTTAATCAGACGATGGGCAAATTTCATCATTAAGTAAACGAATTTTTTTTTATTTGTTAAATAATCTGTTGTAATTGAAATGGAGAATGAAGAAATAAGATTATTGTTCGGCTACAGTTTCCACTATTTTGAGAGAAACTTTCGTCTAATACACTGAATTCGTGATTTTTTTCGTGCATATTATAAAATGTTTTTCAGAAATTTTTATATAAAGGATGATCTATGGTAGTCTTATCGAAAAACACAATGTTCGACTATGATCAGAGAGAACTATAGAGAATCTATGATAAGATTCGACATTTAACGCAAATTATTGGTAGTTTATCATCTTTTTATAATATTTATTTCACATTTAGAACATAGTCTATCAAATGCTTCGGCATTAACTGTCGCAGTACCATTATCCGCGCCAAGCACTTTAAATTCATCTTGGAATAGTCATTTTTATGAAACACGTCATTCGACTCAACATCTTTGTGTACCAAGTTTAAGATTCAATCGGTTATCGGATGGGAATATTTCATTACCCGTACCATCATCGATGATAAATGAACATCATCAACAGCACAATAATCGAAAATCGGGCGAACAATTACTCGATCCTTGTCTTATATCGAAAACTGTTCGACGTAGTCTACTCGCACTTCATCGAGAATCTCAGGAAAATATGATACTACGGCATAAAGAAAAAACGCAAAGTGAAAGTGATGTACATGGAAAATTTATACCATGGAAAATAAAAATGAAATCAAAATTGAAACGAACACCAGTAAACAAACAACATGGAAAAAAACTTATACACAATGATTCTTCATTCGATTCTCAAACACAATATGTGTCAACTGCTCCAACAGTTCCCATAGGTTTCTTGAATCCAGTTGCTATTCAAACTACAAAAACTCTGAGACGTAGTTTAAAACATTATCCAAAATATTCGACACAAAGTCGCGATAGTCCCGATTGTAGTTTTGATATAGCATCATCCGAACCTCCAACAAGTATTATGATGTTAAATGAGTGTGTTACTTCGACAACTACTTCAAATGACCATCATACACAAGATAACTATGATCAAATGAAAACATATCAAAATTTGCCGCCTAGGACGTCACTTGAAAAGTTAAAAGAAATTTGATATAATAATGCACTTAATAGTATGCTAAGATAGAATCAATTAGAACGAATAGAAATACATCAGGACACTATTGAACAAAGATAGATAAGAAGAACGGCAGGCGCTATCGTTTTCATATTTTATCTTTAATAAATTGTTTTAAATTTTCAAAAAAACATTTTTATATTTTTCTGTACCGGTGATTATCTACATTTCTTGACAAATAGAAAGTCTGTCTGGTTATGCAAAATATATATTAAATTTCTTCGCTTTTCAGTAACTAATTATTGTGAAAGGTATATTGTAAGAGAAATTTTATATTATTGACATCAGCTAGAGAAAGTATAACGATCAATTTTCATATATAAAAAACCAAATAAACCAGAACCAATTTTGCCGGTAAGCAGTAAAATTTCATTTTTTAAAACTGATTTTTTATGACAAAAACATTAACACTTGATAAAAATTATGAGTCAAGTTTGACATCTATTATATGATAAAAAAGTTTATGAAACTAATTCGTTTTTCTTCTTCTTCTAATGTTTATTATGAAACCGAATATCAACGATTTAGTATTAGTTCATGATAAATAGTCTAGAGATATACTGAATAGAGATTTATTCTTCAAAAATACGACAAATTTTGTCTAAAAGAAGTAGAAATATACTTTTTTGCTATATGGTGTAAAACAGGTAAATATAAAAATCCATACGTCAATATAAAAGTTTCTGCAAAAATAATTTTAAAAGAACGAAATATTTTTGCATCATGAATAGAGGTGCAAAGCCGATAACCAATTGAAACATTTTTAACATTAGTGTAAGACAAATGCATTGGATACTGATCTATTGTTTTCTATTATCCGTACAAATCGTATATTCGTCGGATTGTTCTTGTTCGATTCCGAATGCTTTCATTGATCATGTAACCTCAATGACAACATGCCTGTTCAACTTGCAAAACATTCATTGTCAAAGACTCGTCATTAATGGGAATATGAATTCACTAACAAATACGATGTTACCAATATTTTATAATGTAACAGAGTTAAAAATTCAAAATTGGATATTGTACGAACAAATTTTGGACCGATTTCCTTCACTAACCACATTGACAATACAATCATGTTCCTATAATGCATCAGCAAACTTTTTAAAAAGTGAGAAGAAAGGAAACATCACAACGTTAAAATTAATACATAATGAGTTACTTAGTGGAAAATTGCCAGAGTTCAGTTTTCCCCAACAATTGAAATCATTAACAATTATTGAATCACAATTAAGTACAAACTCACTGAGAATAGATGCCAATTATCATCTAGATACTCTTGAATTAGAATTAGGATCGTATCAGCAATTTGATTTAAACAATTGGTCATTTTTAAAATCTTTTTTATCAAAACTCGAAATAAGAAATTTAACAGATCTTGTTGTGTTTCCTTCAGCATTTTTTAATAATTTTCTTCGATTAAAGCATTTATATTTATCCGGTAGCTACATATTAAAAGAGGAAGATATTTGTGCGTTTTATTATTATCCATTGAAATCAAATATTACGTTAAATACATCAAGTAAAAAAGATCCCTGTGCACAAACGTATATCGATGCTATCAACTATTGGAATTGTGCTGAGAGTGTACCATGTGAAAGTCCATACGCCTGTAAACAATATGCAAACCGAGCAAATTCATGTTCATTGATATCTGCGGAAAATCAATGTTCGACATTTTCGAATCGAACACCCGTTTTCACATTTCAATCGAGTTGCTTGAAGAGCAGAATAGATCAGTGGCTTGCTTATGATTTTTCTTTAATAATACCAACACCAGACCATGAGACATTTCCCCTTAGTATTGGTGCTATTATTGGTTTAATTATTGGTCTTATAGTTGCTATTGCTATTTTATGCATTATACTCTACTGTATTTATCGATATCGCCAGAATAAAAACATCTATATAAAATCAGAAGATAAATATCGAAGAAAATCAAATACAAATTCACAACATTCGAGTATCTCCCTTACGACTAGTAAGTCATCCGGTCAACCATTATTCTCTCAACATCCCAATCATGTTACTGCACCAGCACTTTATAATGTGTCACAACCTCCTTCATCCATTTATCACTCGTCAACGACTTCGACATCTCAACCATTAACTTCAAGAGCCAGTATTTCAACACAAGCAACTCATCTTTACGAAGAAGTTTTAAACACCAAAAAACCATGATGCAGAAATTTTATATGGAAACTGAGTGCGGGCGCCTACTGTTTCCTATTGCGTTCAACGCTAAGTGCAAAATAAGTTCAAATGCATTTTTAATGTCAGTCTCACACATCAAAAACATTTTCTGCTTTGAAATTTTCTTTGTTCCACTATATTTTATTAACTTAAACCGAATACATAATAAAACAGTAATAAAAGAAGGAGATCGATCGGAAATGAAATATCATACCCACCAGTCTGAATCAGATCAAATTTGGTCAAAATTATCGTTTGAACTTTTGCTTCCAATTGAATGATATCATCAAGTTCATCACCATCTTCTATATTTATTTCACTAATTGATGGTCAATGACAGTCATCAAGCGGTAAGGAACTTCATTTACAGTTCATTTGGCTAACGTATTATTGTATAATTTTCTTCGATATATTATTTTCAAAGTTTTTAAATTTACATATTTAACGCATAGTAAAATGAATAACGTTTATGGTATACTAATACATCCAACTATTTGAATAAGACTCGTTTTATCATTTTGACGAGTCGGTAACGTTCTGATGAACTCAACGCTTAAGCGTTGAAATAAATCGTACAGGGTCATTCACGAAGAAAGTCAATACTAAATTATCAGCTCAACTATAATGAGCCACGATTTTATTCAATGATTGCTTTCCATTTAGAATCAACTGTTCAATCTCGAAAGCAAGTGGCTCAATCAAATGGCATTAGTAATCTTTAAACTATTATGTTTAGGAAAATATCTCGATATTTTTGTTACGAACATAACAGTCCACATGTATTCAGGCCACACAATTTATCATTTTCTAAGTTTTTTGATATCACATGTGTTTATCTTATCGTTGCTTAAACCATTTGTAAATATACAAATAACCATTTTTATAGTGTGTCCACTGAAGGACATATTTTTAATCGTATCATGTATTTATTTATTATAAAAGGAAACAGAGAAAATATTGTTGGACATGTTTAACACATTCACTGTCCAACAATAATTAAAGAACAATTAAATGAATCATATATGATAAATGGATAGTGAATGTGTTAAAGATGGGTTTTCTATGCACCCGTCAGTAGTCAAATTCTTAGCGTCGTCGGATAAAGCTATAGTTCTTTTCGATATTCAGCCAGTAATTCTGTAAAAAAAATAACCATATTCCGCTGTTATTTACAATTCATTGGTCAAACTTTGTGTACAAAACATATTGCTCTCTTCGATAAGAATGAATTACTTTTTCGGTGATACGGCGTAGTTCTGGGCAAGTGTATTAATCCCCTTCAGTTGTATAATAATTTTACACACAACGATCCATTATAATTGTATTGTTAGTTCTCTGAATATTCCATTTCATGCTTAGCTTTAAGGTGTTTGGTATATTGTATGAAGAAGTATGTGTTGGCAGGGTGTTCCGACTAGCAGGAGATTCTGAAAGTGATCCACGCTCAATAATTAGATAAAAATTTCTTACATAGCAAAAGTAATAATCTCGTATCGAATTCTTGTTATAGACTGCTGCAAGTTTCTTTGATTCTCACCGAAAATCTGAAGGACTGGTACTAATTCCGGTGTCTTTTAACCCTAGTACTACCAAGCCCTTTTTTGCATTTTATACGACTCTGAATGAGCTCCTCCAATGAGTTTCTACATTATCATCCGTCCTATCTCAAAATGGTCCCTCTAATCTTAAAACCATTCTCCCTTCCATCCAAAGCCTAAATCCACCATTGCTTCTTCGTCTTAACTCATCCTCTTCACCCACATCTCATCCGCATCCTAACCCACAGCCACATTCTCATCAAACATTATGTGTGTAAAAAATATGAAACAATAAATATTTCAATTGTATTGTTCAATTGAATCACTAATGGGGTCAAAAATGCCCCCCTTGGTAGTACTAGGGTTAATATGAGTCAGAATATGGTACACGAATTCTGATATTACTGATCAAAGTCACATTTTTATGACTGATCTCTCTTAAATATGGTGAAACATATTCTTTTTAGTAATCTTTTTAGTAAATAAAAAAGCAAGTGGAAAACCTCTTTTAATGTTTTTCGTTCTTAATCTCGTTTCACAGCGAGATCTCGACGTCAACATCGCTGCGTATTAGCGACATTATTTCTAAAAGCTACCACTCACCGAACGTCGGCGTCACTGTGTGGTTTTAACCCACGACCATTACAATAATAGGATCAAGATAAGCCACAATGAAATCGTCGCGTACAGTGGAAGAAGGCCATTGAGGCGTATTTTGCGCCTGTGCAGGGATCGATTGAAGTAAATGCACGACTTGACTGAAAGACGTTACGATACGGCAGAAGAAAACGCTGAGAGGAAATCGCCACAGTCAACGCGAAAAACCATTAGAATAGCGTTGAATGTAGTGATTTGCTCCCAGCGTTTGTCCCTAGCTTATCTTAACTGACGTTACTATCCATAATTACTTTCATTCCATATTAAACTTTACTACTTTCATTTTACTCAAAATGTTTCGATTGGATGTGTGTATTACACCGGATTAGATAGATGCAGTAATAAAAAAGTCGAATCTCAGAAACGAAGGACAAACTGTTAACATAAGTAAAGGCTGAAATTATAGAGTTATTTGTAATTTGAGTACGGCTGGACGATAAGAACGTTCCATCAAAATCTGCGATGAAATCTTACATTTTTTCTTCGAAGAATAATTTACAGTGAAAATTTATGTTAGGCTTTCAATGTATCTTATCTTGACTTAACAGTGACTCTCATGAGGCATTTATGGCTGCCTTTTCAGGATTGGTTGAGCGATCTTCGCTCTTTTTAAGATTTTCTTTCTTATGTGTCTTTTACTTTCAATAAGTTTTTTCTAAGTCTCAAAATCTTCGGACAGTCTCTATCCTACATAAATAAAGGGATTTAGAGCGATTCTTACGAAAAAATCGATTAAGAAGTATAGTTTCCTCATACCGTTCCACTATAGCAGTGTTATTAATGATCAATGGTATAAAAAGAAATGAAGCAAACTTTCTCCATAAAAATATGATTTCCACTTTGCTTTCTATCTAATCTGCTCTCAGTTCAAGCGCATCGTACGTTTTAAAAATTACATACACAAAACTACAATCGTCTGTTTCTTTAATTGAAGAACTAGCGGTCGGTAATAGATTATTCCCCGATTGAATATACGAAAACTACAGTATTGAAAAGAGAAAAAGACTTGTACAAAAAAGGAAGTAATAAGAAAGCATGTGCGGCAGAAATCCAATTTGTAGATCGTATATTTCAAAATTTCTCCTGATTGTTCAAATATTGTCTAACAAAAATTTTTAGTACGTCACTTTGGATGTTAGAGCAAAGTGGAAAATTTTATTTTTATTCCAATTCTCATTAGAAACACTTCATCAAAGTCTTTTAAGGCTGTGATGATTTTTCTCTCTTCTTGCGGAGTTTAACGCTTATTAGCAATTAGTTTATATAATTACGTGCATTCTCAATGAGAAGGCTAATTTAAGGAGAAATACAGAACTACCCTTGAAACCACAATAAAGCATACCTTACTGACTATAGTACGAAAAGGTATGTTGAATTGTTGTAGATGGCAGCAATTGTAAACAAAATTACAACTACAGTGCCTCAAATTGCCACTGGTAAGTTTATTTTTCCACCGTGCATTAATGTCATTTCGAAAGATTTTTCTTTTTTTAAGGAGTTGCACGATTTGCTCAGCCGAAGTTGAGTAGATTTTGGTATTTCGCCCGTGTAGAACTACGTCCACCAATGCCAGGAGAATTTGGAGCTGTACAACAGGGGTTTCAAAATCTTATTAAATCAGTCGCAACACAAGGCTGGAGAAATCTAACTGTTAAAGTAAATAATCAACAATATTGTTTATTATTCGTATGTCTAGATGTTTTTTCTATAATTTTTTAGCAACTAGGATTGAATACATTAGTTGGTATTGAAGTAATTTGTTGGTTTTATATTGGAGAATGTATCGGGAAAGGAAGTATTGTCGGATATAGACCAGGTAAGTGTTTTTCTTCTACGAAGAAAGATGCGTTTTATTTTGTTGTTTCGTTTTAGGCAGAGCGCCGTTACCAGCACCCTATAAATATTTTATGTAATTTGATTACCGAACAATAGCAACCATTATAAAAATGTTTTCCTATATTCACAGTGACACGAACTTTTGTCTTATACCAATTTGTTCCATCGTCTTCATCAGAAAAGTTACTTTCTTTAGAATTTGTTTATTAGTAACATTCAAAAAGATTTCGTTTAAACCAGTGGCGTATCCACCGCTCTGGATCAAAAGTGGACCACGGCCCCACTCCTCAGAAGATTTTTATTTCCTCTCGAAAACAGTTTTTAACTGATCTATCTCTTGAAAAACTCCTGGATACGCCACTAGTTTAAGCATTCCTTTTTTTTATAGCAGCATAATTTCGTCGTAGTGTATTACTTTATTTTCCATTTATATTACTTTATTCAATTTGTAATAAAAAGTCGAAAACACAACTTTTATAAATACCATCTGTACGGAGTTGCATTCATAGTCTTTTGAGCACTCTTAGAATAACTTGAGTCGAATATGGAACTTTATTGTAGGTATTCATCTCTAGCTAAACTTGTTTCTTGTTTTTCAAGAAAACCATTTAATTACATTAATAAAACTAAATTTCTTTCACTTTTCTAGATGAAATATGGCTGAATTAAACGAAACTTTTTTAGTTAATCTGTTAAGACCGACAAACATATCAGATACGGTTGATGGTCCTCTTGAAACAGTCCAAAAACCACTGAAAGATATACAACCAATAGTACAAGAAAATTCAACTGAACATCAACAACATCAGCAAAATTCGCTTGATTTAGTAGGCGTTCTACCAAAATCAGATGAAGAAATTGTGGTACGTGAAATGAATCTTAGGCATTTAGCAAAGTAAACGTTTTTTTTATGTGCTCTTTTAATGTTTAGTTTCCCAACGTGATCGATTTAAATGTGGGAGGTTATCATTACACAACAAGTCTTTCAACACTAAGAAAGTATGAAGATTCAATGTTAGCTGTGATGTTTAGTGGACGTTACCAATTGGTTAGGAATGAAGAAGGACACATTTTTATCGATAGAGATGGAAAGTACTTTGGGTAAGAATTAATAGTTTTTTAAACTTCACAGTGAGAAAAAGTCTTCTTGTAGTCGATCATCTGACCATTTAGAAGAGAAAGATACAAACCGAGAAAAGAAATATCGATACACACAGAAAATAGAATAGCCTGAAAATCTTTTAACTTTCATTATTTCGCGTTTTTTTTATAGATTCAACAATGTTTTTTTTATCATTTTATTTCTAGTCATATCTTAAATTATATCCGTGGTGATACAATACCACCCGAATCACTTTCATTAGATGTTTTACGTGAAGCAGAGTTTTTTTGTATTAGTTCATTAATGACAAAATTAGAAACATCAAGTCCATGTGTGATATCGTTGAGACGTCGTGAATATTTTCGTCGATTAATACCAGACTATGAACATATGAAAATGGATATAATCAATAGATGTGTTGAAAAAAGAAGTTCATTTCATGAATCAAAAGTGGTTATAAGTCAATTAGATCATACAAAATTAAAAGGTTCAAAATATTTTTATTTTATTTTATTTGTTTATTTATTTTTCTATCTTAAAATAGGCACAATTCCATGTTACAATTGTAGTCGAGAATTTGTTACTGTCAATCATGCATGTGCATTCGATGGACTAACCGCTGATCTACAAATACAACAACAACTAAAACCAATTCAAAATGATATTCATATCGATATGGATAAATTGATAGCGTATGCATTCTATATCTATTATTTGTAACAATATTTATATACTTTTGATTTATTCTAGTTTTGTTGTTGACGAATTGTGTCATGATGGATTCAAAGCAACATGTGAACGAGTTATATGTCGTTTTAGTGTAAGATGTCAAGGTTGTACTTTAAGTGGGCTTTATACTGCTGGAGGAATCTTGGCACCAAGAGAATGTCAAAATGTGGCACATGTCGTCAAATTTATATGGTCATAAATAAACTAAATAAACTTTCTATTCAGTCATCTCTTACTGATAATGAATAATAAATAATTGTTGTAATTTGCGATCATGTCATTGTATCTTCTTCTTTGCTACTGTTGACTTATTTTATATGTTGTCTTTTTTTCATGTATCTTTTCGACGTCAAGCCCACCGGCACTGAGAACGTTTTACTATCTTAGGGTGGTTTCTCATACACTGTTGTATCTGGAAAATTGCAGTAACTGAGATTTTTCTCATAAGTTTCGTAATTTATTTCTTTATCAATTAGTTTTGAGTCTGGTTGATGGAAGCGAATTATTTAATTCATATCACAGTTAAAATACACTGAAAGTAGTTTGGTGTTTATTTGACTCATTTCTCAATGAAAAATATCTCAGAAGTTCTCGAGTCCGTTTGAATAAATAGATAATTTTTTTGCCATTGTTTTTTGGTTTCTTTAAATTCTAGTCAAACATTTCTAATCCAAGTCGTTAATGAATATTTGAACTGAAAATTCCTGTGTATTAATCGTTTGTCTGTTTTTGGTGGTTCTTTTTTGATACGTCATTTTTGTTTCTTTCTCTGTTTCTTTTGTTGACAGTTCTGTGGTGACGAAAGAGTTTTTGTTTGAAGTTTTTTTCAAGAGTTCTGTCAAAATAAGGAAAGCTAATAAAAAGATTTTCAAGAGATGTGCGTTCTTCCTGTCGTTCACTGCGTACCTGTACCGTCAAGTATACAATTCTACAGATAAATAAGCTACACGTCTTCAAAAATGTAATATGGAATGACTGTGTCATAACTGTGGTCTTTTCTCGAAACTTTACAGACTAGAAAGTGATAACGGTTCCGTGAGAGGAGCTCTCTCAGAACTGAGTAAGTCAGTCTTCAAACGAGGGTACCTCGCGAACTGTCACATCGCTTTTTCAGCCAAATCTAGTGGGTTATAGGCTATCACCTATGCTGAATCCGAATATCATAGTGGTAGCTGCTTTTAGAGAGCGTTTTTCTGGAAAACCAATTTTTCAGAAATTTACAAGAAAATCGCTAAATGTTCATTGTCAGCTCAAAGCTACAGAAATAAGAAGAAATTAATTTAAAGCTTTTGTTGTAAATTCTATAACTTTGCAAAGAAAGGTCGTGTAGAACTGGGAGATATCTCATTTTAATCACAAATGTGCACGCTACAATTATGCTTCATTAAGAAAGGCTTTAGTTACTTTTTAGAGTTTCTGAAAAACTGGTTTTCTAAAAAACAGCTCTCTGAAGGTCACTCTGCAGCTACCACTATGATATTCGAATTCAGCATAGTTGATAACCTATAATCCACTAGGTTTGGCTGAAAAGCGATGTGACAGTTCGCGAGATCCCCTCGTAAGCCTTAAGCCAAGTCAGCAAAACTAGAAATTGAGTTTTACGTATCAGAAAATTCATTTAACCAATTAGTTTTTCTGTGACTCGATAACTTTTTATTCTAAAGGAGCTGGTAGTTGATTGTTATTTTAAAATATAGGAGTCTTGTGTCGAGAGAAAAATCACAATCTACTAATGTTAAATTTGAAAGATCAATAATATGGTACATTTTAAGCATAGTGAATTAACTTGCTGATCAACGAAAATTTTAATTCAATAAAATTTAATGTTTAAAGAGTCAGACGAATCAAGTCAGTTCAAGTTGAAAATGAGTTGGCCATGAGCCGTTTTTATTATGACTTGTCTAACTCTAACCGTTCGAGTGTCCTTTCGCTCTTCTAATGAAACAGTTTATTTAGGTAATTTTTAATGATCGTGACAAATTGGATATTTGTTGCTGTCGTTAAACGTTGTCTATTTTAAAATTCACCATTTATTTGTGAGGTAAGAGCTATGGGTAGTATTAGGTTTCAAAAAATATCAAGTTTCAATTGTTCAGAACTATCTACAAAAAAATTTTGATGCAGCATTTGGGAAAAAAGTTTTGGCATTCGGAATGTGCATTACATGCTATGTTTCACGTGCATTGATGCCATAACTATGCGGCGCTTCTCTTACGAGAGAAAAAAAAGATGAAGTCAAAAAGACATTCGAAATGATACACGAACACTGACAAAACAAAATGATCATAGAAAAAACGTCTAGTACTGTTGCGCATCGGTACCCAGAAAAAAAGTTATATATTTATTTATTCGGCTGGAAACCACCGATATCAAAAATTTTTTAATTTTTGCATCGACGAGCACATGTATCAGAGCGAAGCCATTCAAAATTTTGTTTGTAGGGTAGTAGACAAGATAGTTTTTTCAGCGCTATAAATTTTGTACTAATACTACGAAAATCCCGAATTTCTGTCGGCTTCTTATGGTGAAATCAGGTTCATCAGCTCTAAAACCACCATTAAAAAACTGGTTCATGGTGAACATTCGCAAAAAGGGATGAGAGACTCTCTCTTTGTTGAAACTTTTTTGAAACTGTGACACACGTTTCTTAAAATATCAAAGCAACTGCATTCAATGATTTAAACCAGCTGCGCAGCTTATTATAATGAGCACTTGTTTGCACATCGTAGCTTGGATATTGAACAACTTAAAAAATTATTTTCTATATTGAGCTCAGTTCTTATAAAATTGAGCAAATGCACTTTTTGTTGAAACATGAAATTGAAATTTTGAAAATTTAGATATTTAAACTTCAATAAAAAGTTAAGTACACTTAATTTTTATATGCATTTAAGCGCGCTGATTGTTCAGAAAGAGTTTTAGCACTGAAATCATTTAAAAAAAGTTAAAGCTATCAATGTAGTTAGAAATCTTCTCATGATATTTTCTGACTCGACTTGCTTATTCGAGTTATCAGGAAGAAGCAAGAGCATAGCGGGCATTTTTCTAATAGCAGGCAGACATCAAGATTCTTTTGCTCATAAGTTATTGTCCCATGAATAATTATTATTTCTTAGTCATCTTTGATGTTTTCAGAAAAAAATTTCTTTTATCGAAAAATCGGTCTTGCTGGTTCATGAGAAAAAGTTTCGATGAATAGTTATTTAATCCAAAACTTATTGTATTATACGTGATTCGATGCAATTCGGTACGCTGCTTCCAAATACGACCTTATTTTTTCTAAAAAGTGTTTTTGAATTAAGAAAAATAGATTTTAAGTGTAATAACCAGAATGTTTTGGAAAACCTCATATTTAGGCCCAGGAAAAAAAAACGCATTTTCCCATTCATAGACACTGTGCTTGCTAAAGAGTAGTGTGGCAAACTTCGAGCTTTTTCAGGCGAGTAGGAAATGGTGAAAATCAACTGTACTGGTCTCATCTCTAGGGAAATTTAACCTGTTCGAAAAAACACTGATTTCTCACCATGTTTACGTCGAAAACAAAACATTTCTTTGCTAATACATAGGTGAGCATATATATTACTGTCTTCGAAACGGGAAAATTTGTACTTTCGATTTTTTGCTTAACGCTCGCCCGGCTACCCACTCTGAAGAGGCTTTAAAGCTGAAGCGGCCGTGAAAGTTTTTTCTTTCTTCTAAATTTCACATTCTGTCTTCTTTTTTTCTTACTGTAGCATTATTTGTTGAGATTGATTGAAAAATATGTTTTATTTTAAGTATACAAGAATGGATGAATATACTGTGCTATTATTTATCGTCTTACTCTTCTTAATCGTACAGAAAGAATTTTTAACCGATCAGTTCTTTCGTTGATTTATATGTAACTGATTTTGGTATTCAAAATGATGTATTCATGATAAAAAATCCATTCATCTGTATGTTTTATTTGGAGTAAAGTCAATCGAACTTTGATGTCTTATTTGAGTAACAGAATATTTTCTCGTTTTATCTAGTATCAATATTGGCTTCAATGCCATTTCTCTGAAATAGATTGTTTGTTTTACGCAAACAATACTTCTTACGATATATTATTATCATCGAATAATCTCATTTTTATTAATCCTTTTAGCAACTTGTTTAAAAATTTATATGTTTTTTATTTTTGTTGATCTTTTTTGTTTTCGAATAATTGTTATTTACTTTGCCTATTAATTACTTTATTTTTCCATGTACAAAAATAATGCCAAATTATTGCATCAAAATGGTTATTACATGGTTACACGATCAAACAAATAATGATAAAACTGAAACATTATATGAAACGGAACCATAAAATGAACAGACTTTTCGTGCTAGAAAATTTAGTAGATTTTATACCTATTTTATGCTATCTCAATCTTTTCTTCTCATTTCAAATGAAGAAAACACATAATTTTCGTCCAATATTGATTTATTCATATGTTCACTTAACAAAGATATTCCCAATAAACATTTTCAATATTTTAATTTTCCAAAATATCCGGTATAGTAGAACGTTATTAATACTAGTTGATATTAACAAGAACAAATTTTAATAGTAAATTATTTTTAACTCGATTAAAACTTGTTCCATAGTTTCCATAGTTCTTAAACTTTTTCCACGTAGATAATTCAGTAAGCTTCACAAACCGTCTGGATCAGAATCTCTTGGTTCACAGATTTGTAATGAATTTTCAAATATTAAATTTCTATCGAGATATTGAGGCACTCAATAAAGACACAAACGGACATCGGATATGTTCGAGATTTAATAAGAAAACCTTTTAATCACTTGAAAATGCTCCTTTAGCATGAAGAAATTTTAAAGATAGCTGTTCTTCTGTAAGATCTAGTTTTACTTGAATTTAGATTGCTGATCTATGCACTACACCTTTTTATAGCTCACTGATGTATTTCAATTATTTGCTGGTGTTCATCGTGCTTTACAAGTAAGCAATCGAAAAACTCTGGATTTCTGCTTGTGACTCGTGATTTTTTTATATTAACAGGCTAATTTGAAATCGGTGTAAAAAATATTCCTTAATCCTGAAAAATGATTCCAGTCCGGCATTGCTAGTGTGCGCTGATGCGCTAATATGCCGTAGACCGCCGGTGTTAGTTGCCCTCCTGGTACCCAGGAAGTCGCCGAATCAGTGTCGATGAGCATCGGTGAAGTTTTTTCTGCTGTTGGAAAAAATACCTTACTCATTCAAAGAATAATGCCAGTGCCAAACAAGTGACGTATACTTTATACCAGCACACATGCACACCCGTGCACGATCAGCGCGGATCAAGAGTTTTTTTATTTCAAAGATGTTATTCATTTTCTTTCAGCTCAGTGACGCGTTATATTGATTTGGTGGATTCAGAAAACTCTATTATATCGATCGCTGATAAAAGTACTAATAAATTGTTTTTTAAAAAAACTTTCCCCATAAATGATATCGAATCTATTATAAAAGAATAAATGAAACAGCATCTGAATAATCAAAAAAAAATTCAAGGTCTGAGTTTAGTCGATAGATAAATGTTGAGTTTTTTTATTGAATTGATACAAGTAATTTGGTGTGAAAGATAAAGTCGAGTCATTTAGTAGTATTCCAAGCTATTTTTTCTTTACCAACACGCTGGTAAAAGCAAAATACGCACATTTTTTATATATTTTCAACACTATTTCACATCTGCAAACGAGAACAACGTTGATTAAATGCAAATGGTTGATGATGATATTGTTGGAAAAATGATGTGGAAATGTTTTTGAAAATGAATTAATGCTTTTTTTATGTTCTTATTTTGCCTCAAACAAAAATCAACATGACAGCTTTGAGGAGAAAAAACTTGAATAAGGAGTTCAAATATTTATGATGTATATCAAATTTTATTGAAATAGATTCTCTATTTATGTTTCAATTGTGATATTTACCGATGACACTCTTCATATATAGAAGATACATATAGTTTTAATAATGTGATCATTCCAAAAACCTTCCTTATAAATTGTCAAAATTTAATATTTAAATGTGAAATGTAACAGGAAGATGGAAAGAAAAATCCCTTGGTCTACCATATGTTTTATATTATTAGATATTTTGCAACATAAACAATCATTCAAATGAAGTTTTATCATTAAAATGAATGCGTTTAATTTCACATCTATACATCTACATGTCATTACAAACAAGTTTTTTACTCATCAAATTGGACATGGATCTTCTTTAAAGGGATCAAATGTATTAAAATAAGGATGAACTAAGTTAGGATTGACCTTTACAAACGTTTTAAATCGTGGCATTTATTATTCTACACATATTTGAAAAGAAAGAAAGAGAAAAATTTTGATCTTATTTTGTCTTCCTCAAAATCAATTTTATTTCGTTTCGCGTTTGCTTTTTTTATTGCTTTCAACTAGTATAGTTTACTATGTAAAAAAACCTCTAAAGATTCGAAATGGAACGAAAATGATATTAATCATTATAATTAACAGACGAATGAGAAGACATTGATGAGAATGCAGTTCAGTAAAATTAAGGTAGGTGAATTATATACTTGTGTATTATTATACTAACTCTTTCACTGAGTTTTCTCATCAATTATATCTGATACTAATATTCTGCTGTTAATTTTCTTTAATTTTCGTTAAAATTCTGCTGTTAATTTTCTTTAATTTTCGTTAAAATTCTGCTGTTAATTTTCTTAGAATCATTTCGTCTTAAACAGTAGAAACGTAATATTTAGTTAACACTTTATCCTGCAGCAGCTCATCTTGTAAAACGAACTTGAAACTGTTATAACCCTGTTTTACACTCAAAGAAAAAAAAATTTTCTTATTAGTAATAATGACTAGCGTATAATTTCAGCATACACTAGAAAAGAATCCATTTTTTGATTCGATGTATCATCATCTTGCTATAGTGATTCTAAGATATCCCACTAATGTCCACGTCTGTGGACTTCCTGGGATAAAGGATTAAAATAAAATTTTTGAGTGATAAGATATTTGACAGCTTCCTACGACTGAGAATAGACGAGATAGTCAAACGCACGTCATCTAAGAACTTTAAGATTCTTAAATTATTCATGGGCAATCAAATGGATAAAGTTTTTTTTTCTTTTTCAATTTTAATAGAATAATAATAATGGTAATTAGTTGGAAAATAGATTTTTTTTTTCATTCATTCACTATCGTTTATTCAATATTTCGCTTTTTTTTTTCTTCTTTGTACCTGTATTTACTATTTACATAGCCGTATGCTGCCTACATTCGCTCATAAGTTTAGTATATATATATATATATCGAGAAATCGGTAACGTATAAAAGTGAGATAAACAATGTATGCTTACACTATTATTTATACTTATGGGAAATAAAGTAAGTAGTACAGAATTCAATTTGGTGGATGATATTAATAATATTTACTTTAAAACATTAATATACTAAACGATTTATTATTTTATTTTTTATTTTCATGATTTAGAACGACAAAAAACGCAATAGTATCACTGATAAAATGCCTGTACGTGAACTACCAACATCAAGTTCTTATAAATGGCAAATAATTGATCTTGATGATGTTGTTGAATCATGGGTTTGGACAATGATGGAGGCAACAAAGACTAGACAAACGTCACAATACAAGTAAGTGATATTTGAAATATTTTCAATTAACACGTTGGCTGTCAGAGTCAAAATAAAACAAAGCCAAATGTATCACTGATGATGCATTGGCAGCCAACATGTAAATCTTTTTAAAATTATAAGCAGAATATTTTTGTAATAGTACATTTTATTTTTGAGATTATTGAACAGAAAAATGTTTGAAATCTAGTAAACTATTTCTTAAGGTTAACACTCATAATTCATCAATATTTCTATAATTATTTTTAATACTATTATGACTTTACTTGTCAGTCAGAATTGATAGATGCGTGTGTGTATGTGTACATAGATTTTTCTTTTTTTTTTATGTATACTTACACATCCAATTCAATATTGATATGTTTTCTATTTTTTTTATGTTCTCTTCGAATGCCATAGGATATACAATTATAACGAAAATTCTAATAAAAAAAATTTTCTTCTTTCAAGTTTGAGTAAACCGTATATAAGTACTTGTTACATTTTTTAATAGTATATAAAAACAACAATGGGACTATTGAAGATATAGTAATTATTTTAACGCCTACTATTTATTATGATAGTCTAGAACAAAAATAAGATGTTTCATTGCATGTTTACTAATTATAAATTCAATGTTTGCTTTAACAGACTGCTATGTCATATATATTGAATAAATTATTCATCTAGAATCAAATTCAAATTTGTAAAGAGAGACACTTGAATATATACATATAGTATCTTTCTATAGATATCATAGATTAAAAAGTAAAATAATTATATCTGGATGAAGTTACATATATTATTATTGATCAAATAGTAGTTCTATATTCTATAACAAAAGAACATCAAGATTGATTGTAAACGTTCTAAAACAGTAATGATGTATTTTCTTGTCTACATGACTCCTTTAAAGAGTATTAAAGAGTTGTTTTTATTGAAGTGTACCAATTTAGAAAAAAATTCTAGGAGTCAAAAGTACAATACGTGATGTCTGTTATGACTTTTTTTATGTGGATTATTGATAAGTTTTTGTTGTTGTTTTTCTTATAGAAGAGAAGAATTAATTATTAATATTAATTGGAAACGAGTACAATTCACGCAAAGTGAAGCTGAATTTCATGGTGCACCACCAATAAAATTACCAAAATCACAAACATTATTCAAAACAACTTTTGCAAATAAAACAGAGACTGATCAAGTATACTCATTTAAAACTCAACGACGAACAATATCGACATTTTGTTTCACATTTAATCAAGGTTTTTGTAAATCTCAAGAAGGTGCTGTAGTATTTCGTCTACCGGAACAAATTGTCGAAGTTGGAGGTGGAATTAAACGTGAACAAAGGATTGAATATGGTCAAGATAAGTATGTAGGAAATAGTTCACTAATAGTGAAAACATTTATATAAAATTGTATACTGACAAGGCTTTAACTCTTATTATTACAATACTTTGCCATTTACTAATGTATTTAGTAGTCACAAAATTAAATGCTCTCTTTATTGTAGAACAAATGAACAAGAAATGTTATGGTGTGTTGACAATGTTGTCAAAGTTCCACCAAGAACAAAAGCATTTGCCGAATTGTATATTAATGAAGAACAATACAATGGTGATTTTAGTGTTGAAGTTCGCTTTTCTGGACGCATAACGGCAACAATTTCTACGCGAACTAATCCAAATAATTATATTAAATATATGGAAGGCGATATTGTCAACATTGTCCGAGATTATATTCAAGGTCAGAATAGTAATCGCGGTTTTGAAATTGTTGATAATTGGCAAGTTAAATACATTATGCGTGGAAAAGTTCAATTTCGATATGGTATTGAACAACATGTGACATTGAACCAAGAGCCAATGGACTTGGTACCATATCAACAACAACATCATATTAATGTGCCTTTTCCATCTTATTCTTCAACAGCAACTCATATACCAATTAAACAATATATACCTACTCTATCTGGACCAACACATTATACACCTGAATATCGTCCATTACGAACACACTTAACACCCTTACCAAGTTCAGATTCTCATGTTTTACATTCTGATGATCGCTCATGATAATAATACTCGATTTCTAATTCTATAATAAGAATAACATAAGCGATTCGCATGGAAATGACAATTGAGTTCACCCTCCGATACAATCACTGTTTATAAAATACTGAGTAACTACAAATATATATCATATCAAACATCCTCTGTAAAATATACATGCAATATTGTCAACTTGATGATATCTGATCCTTTATAAGAATTTATGCGATGATATAACAGTTTCAAATAGAAAGACTATATATATCCCACGAAGTCAGCTATGCTAATTTCTAAGGAGAAACTATTTCTTACAGTGTGTATATACCTGACTTCAGAAACAATATTACCATTATTAAAATATTTTTGAATCATTCATAATATATATGTTTTGTTGAAAATTCGTACTAAATCCAAAAAGCAAAAATAAAAAATAATACAGTAGGATTATGCATTAAACTTAATCCTAGTTCCTAATTCAGAAATCTATTTTCGAGAGGAACTGTCGAATTTCAATAAAACCGCAAATATCTGTCTTATCAAAATAAATTTACATTACTTTTGATTGCTATTCTGATTGTTACCGGTAACGTACATCTTGGACTTGCACTTCTTGTTACATAATGCTGAGCTGATTTAGCAGGGAGTGTCGAGAAGCTTATCCTATATATTCTGAAAGTAGACACTTCAGGCTACCTTTCCATGTGCTTATCTCAAAACCGACTTTTTTACAGAAAATCACAATTTCTGAGGGCGGGGGAGCTCTTAAACATTTTAAGGAAATTTTTGTGTAAGCTTCATCCGATAG